TGAAGTCATTTAGAGCAAAGACTGTAGCTGATATTAATACCAGATCATTCTTGATGTCCCTAAAACAACAAGGATTGTGAACATAAGAGCAGAACTAAACCTAACTTTATAGAAGTGCTGGAAATATTATAAATCAGAATAAACATATAACGAACTGAAGAATACGACAATGTTATACCTTGTGTGAATACCACACACAGTATGGTTACACAACTTGCCTTGCAAGGTCAGCATGTGATAAGAAAGGTATGGATAACCTTTAATATACCTAACTCTACTTTACAGAAAACTCATATGTCCAAAAAAAACGTAATAAAATTAACATAATTATCCAAACCATATGTGAAAATCAATTTCTCCAAATTAGATATTATCAAAACATGAGAGCATATGGAGTGTACCAAAACAAATATTTTAAAAAATGTGATGAATGAAAATTTGACAAGTTTGCAAGAGAATGAGAAAGCTAATATTGAAATGTACCATTGTTTTCTAATGAGAAAAGATGAAGACTTAAAATCATGAAATTCAGGGCAAAACTTACATCTTAGGCGAGTTATTCCCAACTGTTTAGACCAGAAGGGGCCTAAAACAGTATGTGCAGAACCTGTAAACCAAAAGTTAAAGATTGAAATATCACAGCTTTGTTACTGTTAAGAAGCCCTAGTCCATTACTAAATATACTTACTATTGGCCCATTGGTGCTAGGTACAAGTGCAATGTATTGTGGCTCTGTTTTACTAATTTCACACAAAGATGGCTTTAAAAGTGCTTAGTCATCAAACAGTCCATTATTAAGCCTTACTGACTTCACATCTTTACTAAGTTTCTAAATTTTCAGGGAAAAAGTTCTTACTTATATTACTACTCTTAGCATTTTTAATGTTAATCAAATAATTTCCATGGACATTGTCATTATGATGTTACTAACAATGATTGTAATAAAAATGAAAAATTTGAATTTTTTTTCTGAAAATTCAGGAAATGGAGTAAATAGGTAAGGTTAGGTAGGACTACTATTTGACTCTTTGGAAACTAAGTGTTTCTTGAACCTTCTACATGTAAACAAGATCATAGTATATGCTAAACTATAGCATATACTCCTAGTGTCATTGGGGTAATATGCGGTGAAGGGCAGTGGGTTTAAAATGTAAATGTAACAATTACAGCAAGGTATTATGTATTACATATGGTTATGAAAGCAATCAAGAAATGGAAAAGTAACAATTGAAAAATAAATAATAATGTAATGTGGAAGTTAAAAACAATAACAAAAATATAAAAAAAATATACCATAAGTTGAGGAAAAGTAATATACACATCCATTAAATCTAATTTGATGTGATGAGTTGAGTTTCTGTGTGATGAGGTAGTCTATTGGATATTATATGGTACTGCCAACCAGTTTATTTAAACAACCATCAGTGTAATAATGAAAAAAGAGAAAGAGATGCTGCCTTTATATTCATCTTATAGAAAAGAATGGGATTCAAAATCGGAGGGCTTATTTAATGCACTGATTTTGCAATGACCTGAAGGGCAGAGGAACCACACCCAATGTGAAAGCAATCTTCACAAATGACACATGTGTTCCTTTTTATGATCATAATTACAGCAGTTAATAATAATAAATAAAATAATAATAATATAAACTATACAAACCACAAGTATCATTACTTTACATATTTGTTCATATCTTACAATATTCGAGGCCTCATATTTACCAGTAACAGGATCTTCTGGGATGCCATTCCATGGTGCAAAGTAGCGAGATATGCAATGGTATAGCTGACTGTCCTCTGACATCTCCCCTTGCAGCCCACCACTGAGAGTAACTATAACTCCTTTGACTAATGATCCATTGTGAAGACTTAATAATGATGCAGTATCTGGCTTTAGGCTTTCCAAGTCTCTCCTGAAACAGAATGCAGCATCCAGTCAATGACAAAATAATTTACTTAGATGCCTGTAATAAAGTCTTTATCATGTTAATACTATGCAGTTACACCTTTTTTTCAATAACACCTTTCGAGCACATTAAATCAGGATCTAGATCTTTAGGAAGGTGCAAATAATAATAAAATTGGATACTTAATAGAAGAAATGCTAGAAGACTATAACCATATTTTAATGAAATCTAATTTAGAAAAGAATTGCATTTCCTAAACAAATAATGAGCATCTTCAGTACAGCATAATCATTGTTTCACAATCAAAAATACAATTAAAGAAATTTCAAGAATTCTTTTATCATGTTTGATCCTAATATCTTACCTGGTACATGAGCTATGAAGCTTCACTAAAAGTTTCTTTGTTGTGTGTGAAAGTAAAACGGTATCTACATGGAGGTCATTAACCACTCCTTTCACAAGAACATCTAAATCGGTTCTTTGTTGTGCTGTTAGAGGTTCTGGTGGATTTTCTGGGAAATCCAAAATAATGTTGCTGCCATCTTTTCGGGCTACTAACACACCACTCATAGTTTTAAACTCTAATCTGTTGTTCCTATTTCCTGGAAATAAAACACAATTTTAGTATATTGCACCATGGCAAAAGAAGTAAGTAAAGTAAAACTAAGTAAAAATAAATCTAGTTTAGAGTCACACTTAAAAGTCATATAATCCTGTAGTTTATAAAGCAATAAATTAAAGCTCCTGAATTTCTAACCAAAATTATCAGATTTTATACTCATTCGAAACAGAACTCAAACCTGTATACCTAAACAGTTGAATAAAGTATGGGCAGTGGCCAAGGTTGCATGGCCACAAAGGGGTACCTCATTTGTCGGTGTGAACCACCTGAGGGTAAATTGAGATGATGTCACCCACGGTTCAGTGTCACTGCCTGTGGGACTGACATAGGCTGTCTCTGAGAGGTTGAGTTCTGAAGCCAAATTTTGCAGTGTCTGCTCTTCTAAAGGCTTAAAAGAATAAAGAATTTTAATCAGCATTTATTTATAATCAGTAATAAATAATAAACACAGTCCATCAACTCTCTAAAATAAAAATCTTTCATACTAAATTTACCTCTAGAAGGGGCACCACAGCAGCTGGATTCCCAGAGAAGGGTTGATCAGTGAAGGCATCCACTGTGTAGATCTGTAGCTTCATTGTTCTGAAACTGCAAAATGATCAGTAAACAGAAAGTTTATGGTCATAAATTATGTATCAATAATAAGGTAAATAAAAATCATATAATAATAAATAATAATAATAATAATAATAATAATAATAATAATAATAATAATAATAATAACAATGATAATAATAATAATAATAATAATAATAATAATAATAATAATAATAACAACAGTGATAATAATAATAATTACTAAAAATCATGATCATTATTGTTACTATGATTATTATTATGATAATGATTATCATTATTATCATTACTATCATTATCATTATCATCATTATTGTCATTATTATTATTATTATTATTATTATTATTATTATTATTTCATTATCATTTCTATTATTATTATTTCATTATCATTTTTATTATTATCATTATCACTATTGCTATCATTATTACAATTATTATTATTATTATTAGTTCATTATCATTTTTATTATTATCATTATCACAATTACTATCATTATCACAATTATTATCATCATCACTATTATCATTATTGTTCATATTTCATTACATTATTTTTGTCATCATTAGCATTATAAATATCATGATCATTATCATTATTACTATCATTACTATTATAATAATAATTATTATTATTGTTATTATCACAATTATTATTATCACCATAATGATAAGGACAATGATGATGATGATGATGATGATGATGATGATGATGATGATGATGATGATGATGATGATGATGATGATGATGATGATGATGATGATGATGATGATAATAATAATTTAAAAAAATGATGATAATAATGATAATAATAATAATAACAATAATAATAATAATAATAATAATAATAATAATAATAATAATAATGATAACAATAATAACAATTAAAAATAGTTTTTATTATTATTATCATTATCATTATTATTATCATTATTATTATTTCTACTATTACTATTATCATTATTATTATTACTATCATTATAATTATCATTACTAACATTATTACCATTACTATTATCAGTACCTTTATTATTAATATTTATCATTATTATTATAATTATTATTTCCATTATCATTTTAACAGCAACAGTAATACCAGCAGCAACATTAATAATAATAATAATAATATTAAGAAGAAAAATAAAATCATTATAAGCATAAATTTAATAATTTTCAAAACATTTATGATTATGCATTATCTTTATAGTTATTTATAGTATTTTCCTTTTTGCTATTAATAGAATGTAATCACTTTTCTTATCACTACTGCTATTATCAATGCCATTATTATCATTATCATTATTATCATCATAATAATATTGTTAACAGTATAGTTAGAGTAGCTCCAACAATAAAGATGTGTGATAGCATGAGATACAATGGCATTGTTTCTTGAAGATGAAGAGCAAACCACACGATAAGAGTAGTCCTTGAAGCATCTTGCCTCCTGATTAAGAAATTATCTCAAGTCACGATCCCTATTAGAGTGATAGCCTACCTCTGTCTTTGTGTTTTCTAGGATAATGACTCCGGCGTCTATTCAGAATACAGTAGAAACATTAGTGATAACTTAGACTGGCAGATTCTTGAGCTATTCTTAATGTTAAACGTCTTACTTGCTGTAGCGAGGTGAGGAGCAGGGGCTGTTGTCAAGAGGATCGTGTGTTCCTCTTCAGCCCGTTGATGTTTTCCCAAGGCCGCCGGATTCACAAAACTTATTTACAGGAAGGAACATTTGTTTTAAGTCTGCAGATTAATCCCTTTCTTTCGGTATACGACAATGGAGGTGACATGACCCCATAAAGCTTACAACTACATTCCAATTAAAGGTATCGCTAAAATAAAGTCCAACGAAGTGCTGTCACGGCGTATCAGCTGAGGCCACGGGGCGAGCGGCGGCGGCGGGTAGTCGGCCTCGAGTCGGAGGAAGGGAAGCAGGCGAACTATTACAGTGATGGGCAAGTTTTCGGGTCGGCGAGCACTAGTGACTGGTGCGGGGTCGGGCATTGGGCGTGCCACGGCCTTGAAACTAGCAGAGATGGGCGCTGAGGTATTCGCGTTGAGTAAAACGGCCGAAAACCTGGAATCTTTGCGCGCTGAATGCCCTGACATCAAGCCGGTTTGTGTTGACTTATCTGACTGGACAAGCACGCGGGATGCCGTACAGAAGATAGTGCCCATCCATCTGCTTGTCAACAATGCAGCCGTAGCTGCTCTGGAGCCTTTCCTGACAACATCACAAGAAACACTCGACAGACTGATGAATGTAAACGTGAAAGCTATGATGAACGTGTCCCAGGTCGTGGCTGGGGACCTTGTGAGCCGCGAGGGACGCGGTTCAATAGTCAACGTGTCTTCCCAAGCAGGCCAGCGCCCCATCGTCGACCACACTGCCTACTGTTGCAGTAAAGCCACCGTTGACATGATGACCAAAATGATGGCACTGGAGTTGGGTCCCAAGCGAATCCGAGTGAATGCCGTCTCCCCCACAGTCGTTATGACAGCCATGGGGCGCCTGGGCTGGTCCGACCCGGCCAAGGCAGGGCCGATGCTTGCTCGCATACCGCAGGGCAGGTTTGCTGAAGTAGATGATGTAGTGAATGCTATAACGTACCTTCTAGGAGACGAAAGCGACATGGTAAACGGACACATGCTACCAGTCGATGGCGGTTTCTTGGCAGTGTAATATAAATAAATATATCTTCGAAAATAAATTGTAAAGAACACATGAAGTGTATATCTTGTATCCGTCGACCCACACCAAGCACAGAAATTAGTAAATGCACAGGGAAAAAACAAAATACACCTTGTGTTACTAACACATTCGAAAATGTAAATAACCCAGATGCTAAAGATTACAACCCTCCTATTTACATGAAACACAAGTAAAGAGACTGTACGTGTAAATTACATAAACTTATGGATATAGACCAGCATCGAAGGGCGTTGCCGGTGTAGCAGCCCCGATTATACCTGAGGATACTTTTAGACTAGGCTGTTTCATACCCGGGATAGAAGTTTGGCTAGACCAGTTTATACCCCCGGGTATACAAATGGCTAGGCTAGAATATATCCTTCCCTTTTGCATGTAACAAGTGCATACTATCTTGTAAGAAGATTATGGCTGGTGTTAATGCCGATCATGAAGTGATCTCGCAACTGCAGATATTCCTTGTGCATAGAATTTACAGGGCACCATATCAAACTCAGACTTGAAATATTTGTTATTATAATTTTGATATTAACTGCTATCTTTAACATTTTCATTATTAAGAAAAAAATAATATACGCAGTAACAAATGAACAACAACATTCAAAACTACACTGAAATGGGTTTCAGATATAAGGCATGTATTTGCGATGCGACATCATAGGCCTGACCTCAGTTTAAGAATTGGAAGTTTTAATAAAATTGTTCATTCGTCTAGACAATGGTAACGTAAGCAATAACGTAATAACGACTGTAACAAGCTGCATTGATATACCCCACATTTAAATGCCTTATATTTACAAAATATTTCTGAACACTCCAGTGTAGTTTTGAATGTTGTTACTAACCAGAATAAAACTTTCTTAATTTTAATAACAATGCTATTTTTGTTTTGAAGTGAAAGCACAATACATAGTGATAATAATGATGATAATAACAGTGATAATAATCATCGTCATAATCATATAATCATTATAATAATAATGGTGATTATCATTATCATCAATATTATTATAATCATCATTATTATGATGATTGTGATAATCATTATAATTACAACAATAATAATTATTATTTCATTATCATTATTATTACTATAATTATCATCACAATAATAATGATAATGGTGATGATGGCAAGGATAATATGATGACGACGATGGTGATGATATCAACCACAGGCCACATAAATCAGGAGGTCAGTATGATCAGTACTTTTCAAAATTGACCATCATCAACTGTGAGTACTTGTCCAGACTTTAGCCACAAAAATGTGCGTTAAATTGTCAAAACACTGTAGCCTGTACAGTATGGGAAATTATCCATGACAGAATGTTTCCACAAGTTAGGTCTGAATATATACTTTAGTTTTGAGTTTCGTGTGGTGGCCAGTGGAATTCAGTTCACAATGTACGAGGAATGTCTGCAGTTATGAGATGAATGCATGATTGGCATTAACATCAGCCATCAGCAATATTTGGCAATAGAGTATATATACTATGGATACTGTACGCACACGCGTATACACACACATACAAAATATATATGTATATCATCATTATCATTATCATATGTATATATATATATATATATATATATATATATATATATATATATATATATATATAACAACCCACTCTGACCAGGACTCGACCCTATGTCACTTAGGATATAAACCGGAGAACCATTACTAAACTAACCATGCCACAATACCCACTAAGAGGGATGTGCAACTAGGACCTAACTAGCTCTAGACATTACCTATCTATCAATACAAAAGGTTTTTCACACATATATGTATAATTATATATTCATTTATCTTTCTATATATATCTGCACACACGCACATACATACATATATATATATATATATATATATATATATATATATATATATATATATATATATATATATATATATATATATATATATATATATATATATATATATATATATATGTATATATATATATATATATATATATATATATATGTATATATATATATATATATATATATATATATATATATATATATATATATATACATACATACATACATATATCTATAGTTCGCAGTTATACGAGGCTAGACTAGAAAGTCCCCGTTCTTTCGCTATAAATTAAAAGCCACATTTGTCCAATTGTGAAAACTTTAATAACTTTCAAAATGGGCACACTCACTTTACATTCTGCGGTAGTAACAGTATTAATTGTTATTGTTACTATTATCATCATTATCACTGCAATAAAACATCAAACATTTACTGTCTAACCACCATGGGTTCTGTACAGGGTATTGCAGTAACATCCCCAGAGTATAATCCCCGCCAAGAGTATACGCTTGGGATGTTTTACACTCGGAGTATAAATCAGGCAGAGCCATTTATAGCCCTAGGTATAAATGGGCTCGACTAGAATACATAGAATACACTCCTAGGCCAGAACATAACCCTCCCCTTTTCCATGTAACAAGTATATCACTATATTGCCAGAAAACAACATCTGGTGTTAATGCGGAGCTCGATATATTTGTTCACTGCCTAGCTTGTGGAAGAATCCTATTAGTAATTTTGTATATTATACAGGCCGCAAATTTTTGAAAATTGGAAATGTACATTTTTGTGGCTAGTGTCCGGAAAAGCGTTCTCATTTTTCACTGGGAATATTTGTTCACTGCCTAGCTTGTGGAAGCACTCTATCATTGGTAATTTTGTATATCATACAGGCCGCATTTTTTTTAAATTGGAAATGTACATTTTTGTGGCTAATGTCCGGAAAAGGATTCTCATTTTCAAAATAAAAATAAAGGAGATTGATGTACCAAATCATATGAGGTAGATAAGGTGTAAAACACCTACCACTGGACTTCTTACCCTAGAGGAAGAGGGGCCTTTTACCCCAAGAGCTATTGGCATATATTAAATGTTATTCTCCAACCATGAATGAAGTATTGCTAAAATCAAGTGCTATACAATCAAAACATACAGCAATCTTCTGTAATAATCTAACTCTTCAGTTATTACTCTTTAAACAACTAGCACAAAATTCACTGAAAATTTACTTGAAAATATGCCAAATAAAAAAAATGGAAGAAAATGAAACAAAATACCCGGGAAGGCAAATAGCCCCGGAGGAGGGGATCTTACTCTACCTTAACCTACGCATCTTCGAAGAAGACTCAAAGTAGAGCACTATTAATTTCGGCCGCAACTGTGACCTCAGTATTTTGGCAACTTATGGTACGATCCATTTGGAATATGAAAAACTGGAAATTTACAGATCAAGAACTAAGCTGTTACCCAGTTAGTTCTTTATAACACCCTTAAAGTTATTTTGCATGCATGGAGACCTTGGGCCTCTTTATTACAAAGTTCCCATTGTCTTAGTTTTCACGCCGAGTCTAGTGTTTCATTGTTACAATAAAAAAACGCTATAACGGGCAGGGAATTTTAGCAGTTGTAAGAATGTGTTTAGATTTCTACTAGTTTTTTATACTGATCTTTTGTTGTGTTGGTGATAAAGAATCATTTTAAGTGTACAAGTTGATAGTCATACGTATAAACACATCCGTAACCAGTAAATTCGTCTGTTGTGTGCCTCTGTCGTCCAGAGAACCCTGGATGGACAGGTTCCCCAGGGCCAAGTGAGAAGCCTTATCACCTTTTGAACCCATGAACTCAGTGAGCAAGGTTGTATTGCAGGCTGTGTTGTACAGACTTTCAGTGCAGTGCAGTCTCCAGGTGAGTCAAGGAGTAATTTCACAAAATGTTCCCAGAAGCCAGTGAATTGCGAGTTCTGATCCCCGGATGCAACAACATCCATGAGTATATGCTACTGCGGGACTGCGCGAGCTGGCTCTCAGACGTAGTAGGCTTATGGCCAATTCCAAGGCGTGGACCACCTGGGAGCATATTATGTGGCATGTGAAGTGGCGCATATGGATGCTACTTGGTCCCAATGCGGAACAGAAGCCGCAGTTGACATCATGGAGGACGCCTCTGCCAGTGATCGTCATCGCAGCAGCCCACATAGAGACGGTTTCGCCGGAAGCATGGCGCCACCAATTAACCAAGACATCATGTGGGAAGCTGGGTATTTCAATCAGCAAAAAAAGCAAATGAAGAAAAATGTCTCCTGTGATGTGATTGCCTGCACGTGCGCAACCAACCATCCACAATTGGATGTCCATGTAATCAGGTTAGGCAATAAGAAGTACCTCATTAGAGCCGACACTGGTGCACAGCTTTGGATGCCAGGACATCAGCCCATATGGGACCTAGAGATAACTCGGCCGGCTTGGCAAGATAATTCCTTAAGTATCACGCACTTGGCCGGGGGACGCTTATGGGTAGAGTATGTACCATCAGTGTGCGTGGATGGTGCTGGACCATTTTCACATGATTTCCTCAACGTGCATGCAGAATTGAAGCACATTCATCCGACCCCCTATACTCTGACAGTAGACAATAGAGAAAGCCTTGAAAGATGTCTCCTCATCAGGGCCCTGATGAAGCAGTAAATGCGAAAAGGCCTTCGGCATATTCGTGTGTTTTCCTGTACTTCCCTTCATTGTTCTACTTGCAGTGTGTATGTGTGTATGTGTGTGTGTGTGTGTGTGTGTGTGTGTGTGTGTGTGTGTGTGTGTGTGTGTGTGTGTGTGTGTGTGTGTGTGTGTGTGTGCACCCACACACGCACTCATATCTATATCTATATCTACACACACACACACACACACACACACACACACACACACACACACACACACACACACATTCATTCACATGCACACACAAACATACACGCACGCGCGCACAGTTAAAGTATCTATATATTCATTGTAGCCCTATTGCGGTTTTGCGTTCAGCTAATGTTCTATAGTGAAACATATAATGTAGCTTGCTATTTGTTTATTGAATTAGTGTTTTGCTGTTTGGTTCAGGTGAAAAAATGGTCACACCATTAGATTAGCCGTTGTTAGATGGTGCAGCTACGGAAACCATTAAGCGATTTTGAAGAA